TCTCTCTCTCTCTTTCTCTCTCTTTCTCTCTCTCTCTCTCTTTCTCTCTCTCTCTCGCGCTCTCTCTCTCTCTCTCTTTCTCTCTCTCTCTCGCTCTCTCTTTCTCTCTCGCGCTCTCACACACACACACGATGCGCAAAACTTCGCATTTGAACAGTCAATAGCAAATACTTAAAACTAATAACAAAACAGTAGCTGATTCAGAAGCGCCAGATTGTCATAGCAAAGTCAGAATTACCTCCTCTCCTAGGTTCACGAAACGGTTGTCCATAAAATGCATTGCTGTTCTGTTGTAAGTAATCTTAAAGATTTCTAAATGCATCTACTTTCAGAAGGCCAAATAAAGTGCTTTTGCTTTCTCCTAGAAACACACAGCGTCTCCCTGACATGCTGCTTCAACACTAACTGCGGTTACTGAAACCACGCCTTCTTTCTTTGCTGCACATTTGGGCGGCATTATGCAAATATTGCCACATAGTGAGGTAGATATGTGGGGGCGTGTTAGAACGAGCCGTTTTAGGGGGGCGCGGCAGAGTCTTAACTTTGATAAAGAATATCTCTTTGGTTTTGAGACTTCAACTTCAGGGATCTTATCTATGCACAATCAGCTTGTATCACTCCAAAGAGAAAGGACAACTTGAAATCGCATCATATGACCCCTTTAAAAGGTAAGATCAATGTTTTATCAAGCTATTATTTTTAACATTTAGATACCTATGTATGGCAGAAGGCTGTGACATTAAAGAAATTGTATGGAAGTTCAAGGTTTTCATTTTTATATTTTGCTTAAAATAAGTATCTAAGAAAAACAAATAAACAGCACACATGCATTCATGACCTCTAGACTGGACTATTGTAATGCACTGCTAGCTGGTTGTCCTGCATCTTCAATAAACAAGCTACAGGTAGTCCAAAATGCAGCTGCTAGAGTCAAGAAAATATGATCATATTACCCCGATTTTACAGTTTCTGCACTGGCTACCTGTTAAGTTCCGTATCAGTTACAAAATATTATTACTTGCCTATAAGGCCCTTAATGGGTTAGCTCCTGCGTACCTAACTAGTCTTCTACCACGCTACAATCCATCATGCTCCCTAAGGTCGCAAAACTCTGGACTTTTGGTAGTACCTAGGATAGCAAAGTCCACTAAAGGCGGTAGAGCTTTTTCGCATTTGGCTCCCAAACTCTGGAATAGCCTTCCTGATAACGTTTGGGGTTCAGACACTCTCTCTCTGTTTAAATCTAGATTAAAGACACATCTCTTTGGCCAAGCATTCAAATAATGCATCTCATAATCTTGTACTGCAGTTATATCTAATCAAATGCACATTATTATTCTTTAGTTTGGGTTGAACACATAATTTTTTTTGCTTAGTTGGAACAGCAGCTACGCTAATTTTTCTCTATTTCCTTCTCTGTTTCTGCCACGGGATTAACATCCCGGAATTGCACAAGCTTCAGTCTGGATCCAGTCCTCACAAAGACCTGAGACGACCAAAAAGAGATGACGCCAACCCCTCAGAGGACCTCAGATGATGCAAACCCTCAGACAACATACAAAACTACCACATTTTGCTATAAGCTTGATCTCAACATATAATCATTGCTGTTAATAGTGTTCACCGTCTGTTTGATTACATTACATTAACTGCTTGATTTTTACTGTACATTTCTGCCATATGGACATCAACTTGAGATAGTCACATAAGCTACTACTAAATATAATTTGCATCATGAAAAGCGCTATACAAATAAACTTGAATTGAATACATTATAATCAAAATGCTTTCATCAAGAGCAGAAAACAAAGTGTTTTAGCAAATGTATCAGTCTGTTTTGCGGCTCACTGTGTTTTTGCTGCTGCTGTTAAAATAACCATGCCATCCATAGCTCTTGTAGCACTTTATGTCTTTAGCAGGAGAGAGAAGCAATGCGTACGGAGCAGAAAGGGCTTGAATGAAGCGCATTTGCCTCTCACTTTAAACTACTGAAATGGTAAAATGGTGCTACAGTTGTCATTATGTCTCACAGTTCAGCTGAAATTTGAGGTAATAATATTTAACAATATTACTGTTTTTTTGTGGGTTCCTGTGGGTCAGAATCTATGAGACCTTATGACTGAGTCCGTATGAATGACTTCCCCTCATTAAAAAGTTAGTTCACCCAAAAATGAAAATTAGCCCATAAATTACTCCCCCTCAAGTCATCCTAGTCATCCTAGGTCGCTACAGAAGGCCTCTGTTCACCCCCCGGAGCCGTGTGAGACACTTTTTTTATGGATAGGCGCTTTTTATTTAACTGCTTTTGGACTGATGCATGCAACACTCACTGAGTGCCATGAAACAGCTTGAAAGATCAAAGACTATTTTTAATATAACTCTGACTAGATTCGTCTGAAAGAAGAAAGTCATATACACCTAGGATGACTTGAGGGTCAGTAATTTATGGGCTAATTTTCATTTTTGGGTGAACTAACCCTTTAACCCAACATGAATGACCATCAGACCAAAAGAGGCATAAAATGTTTTCAAGAGCATGGTCGCTACTTTGAAATGACTGTAACCTACTAAAAAAGCAGTCTATGGTACTCAACATCTGCACGCAAGAGTCTCTGAGTGCTGGTTATGCAAGAACTGATGCTACTGCAGCTGCTAATTGGTGAAAAATTCAGTTAACGACATTAAAATTCTATTTTTTTTCTGCTGTAGCGTTTTTAATGATCATAAACACTTATAACTAACCCTTTAACCCAACATGAATGACCATCAGACCAAAAGAGGCATAAAATGTTTTCAAGAGCATGGTCGCTACTTTGAAATGACTGTAACCTAATAAAAAAGCAGTCTATGGTACTCAACATCTGCACGCAAGAGTCTCTGAGTGCTGGTTATGCAAGAACTGATGCTACTGCAGCTGCTAATTGGTGAAAAATTCAGTTAACGACATTAAAATTCTATTTTTTTTTCTGCTGTAGCGTTTTTAATGATCATAAACACTTCATCTATATTCAATTAGTGACCCACAAATGGTACTGAAAACGTATTGAAGTGTAAATCGCTGGAAATGCTCAAGAACTGAAGCTTTTTTCTTGCGTTAGCTCTAGTTGGAGTGAAGACAGCAGCTGTTCATGCAACTCTCCCCAGGGTCACTGAGATGACTGTGATATTATGTAAGACACAAACTCTTTTGGGACAGTATGATGAATTATATGGCAGTGGAGCGAGGTGTCATCCACAACTAACAAACACAGAACTGGATTACAAGACATTGGAAAAAGGGAAATGACAGTGTCGTTTATTTTTTTTTAAGTGCATTTTTATATTGGTCTAATTGAGAATTATGCTTTCTGGTTTAAACCTGCTTTTCATTTTGTCGTCTAAAAGCAAATAATACTTCCCATAGAAGTAAAAAATAAATAAAATAAAATAAGAATAAAAACAAAAATAAACATAAAATGTAATATAAGTAAATATGAATTAATATTTACTTACATTACATTTTATCTTTTTATTTCATTTATTTCTTTTTGTCTCGTATTTTTGCTTAATTTTCATTAAACATGCTGGACAGCTTTACTGACTGCAGAAATGATTAATTTTATTTATTTTTTATTAATTTTTTCCAGTGTGTTTTTTAAGTACATATAGCGAAGCTTTTCCCTTATGTTTATGGCTACATTTAGTTTTATAAAGCCAAAAAATAATATACTGACCTATATCAAGTTACATTTTTGGCTTAAATATATTGACTAACTATAATGTTTATAATAAATAATGTTTTTACTTTGTATGAATGTTTTTATCTTTGGGAAAATAAATATTTTTCATTAATATTAAATCAAAATGTAAGGTTTCAACCAAACCATGAATATAATTTGACAAAAACTATTTTTTGTCCAAATAAATAAATAACATATGGGGTTTTTTTTTTCTCAGTGTACTAACAACTTGACACGCGCACAAGAACATACACGATGTAAAACTATTTCCTAGTTTTAGGGGCAAGCTGAAGGACACTAGTTGGGTTTATGAGACGCTCTTCCTCTAACCTCTCAGGTTCCTCCTGTTCTTCCTCTTCCTCTGGGTTGACAGTAGCCCCGCCCACCTCCCCATCATGCCCCGCCCCCAGTGCACTAGCTGTAGTGGCTTCCACCTGCTCTTCCACAGACACAGAGCCCTCCTCTCCCTGACTCTGAAGAGCCTCCGCACGGCTGACATTCACACACAGACACACGGACACGTAAACCAAGCCATGACACCATGAAAGGAAGCATGCAAGACAGAAAAGACACAGAAAAGACAGATATAAGCTTGGCAGACATGCAGATGAAGAAAAAAAGAGAAACCTTAAACAAAACAACAGTATGAAAATGTGAACATGAGTGCCGTCAAACGATTATTCGTGATTAATCGGATCCAAAATATAATTTTGTGCTTACATAATGTGTGTGTGTACTGTGTATATTTATTATGTATATATAAATACACACATATACATGTGTATATTTAAGAAAAGTATGTTATATTTATATATAAAATATTTATAAATTGTATCAAAATTATATATATATATATATACATACAGTACATATAAATGTTTTTAATATGTGTGTGTGTGTGTGTGTGTATTTATATACTTATATTAAATATACACAGTACACACACACATATTACGTAAGCACAAACTTTTATTTTGGATGCGATTAATCGTTTGACAGCACTAGTGAAAATGAACTCTCTTCATGAACAAGAGAGATTCTGTGACAGAATGATGCTGTCATATACTTTGAGAGTCTCAGTCCTTCTGTTAATGGGTGAAAACATGTCCAATCCATATTTTAATAACACATTTCCATGAAAAGTAAGCTTTTAGCCTCAAAATTCTCATTATTGTTATGTGAAAAACCTCTTTCTCGTGTGATAGAAATAATAAAACAATGATATATGGTTTAATTAAATAATTTTTTAAAGAAATTGTACATTTTATTCAGAAATAATGCATTAAATAAATATGAAAAATCATATATAAGATGAAAAAATAAATAAAGAAGTGACAGTCACTGCTGCAAACATTATTGTTTCAAGTAACATTCTTCACAAGCTGTTCTTCTGAACTCTCTATTTATCAAATAATTCTAAAACAAAGTCATGAAAAAATATTTTATTATATTTTTATATAATAATATATTTTTTTATATTTAATATATTTTTTATATTATATATATAATATTATTTATATTGTGGTTTCCACAAAAAATTAAGAAGCAAAAAACATTTCCAACATTGATAATAATAAGAAATGTTTGTTGAGCAGCAAATTAGCATATTAAAATGATTTCTGAAGGATCTTGTGACACTGAAGACTGGAGTAATGATGCTGAAAACTCAGCTTTGATCACATGTATATATATATATATATATACATATATACATGTGATACATACTGTATATATAGCAATAATATTTCACAATATTACTGCTTTTACATAAGAGACAAAACACTAAGAAATCTTAACTTATCAAACTAACCAAACTATATAAATTGCATTACAGTAATGATCATTTATATATATAATTGAATATTAATAAATATAATTGATATTTGTTTCTCTTTCGATTTGGATGTTAAATATGAGTTGGACATTTCTTCATGAGATTCACCTGTATATAAGTTTGTTGAAAACCACATGATGTGGTCTCAGTCATTGGTAAACACACTCATGGCAAGTTCAGAGGTTCATCTCAATTCGCAAGCAGGCAGAGCCAAACCTGAACTCGCCAGAAGCACAGTAAGTGTGTTCATGACTGCAGATACATCCACAGCTATCAGGGCTCAGTGGGTTCATTATGTGCCTACCTGATCCTGCGGCTCGCTCGCACCCTTTCTGACTGGACAGACATGTAGCTCGTGCTGCTAAGACGAGACGCACTCGACAAAGCGGACACGTCGCTTACATCACTGTCCGACGACCTCATGGAGAGACTGTCCATCCCACGCTGTGAGGGGAAAAAACAATGCTGATTATTGCATTCAAATAATGCTGCACAAACTGCCTTCTAAACAGGACTGACATGAATCAGTACAGTTAAATCATTACACGCTTTGATTTAAAGCAAAAAAGTAAATCATAACTGGACAAAAAGATGAAGGTACAAGACTGTGTACTTAATGGCTTTAATAAAGGACAGAACTATAATCCCATGAAGCGTTGCAAATTACATTAATCGAATTAAAAATGTTGGAGAAATATACAACTATATATATTTAAGTGTATTGCAAGCTATGCACATATAAATATTTATGCTGGCCAACTCTATTACATATTTTGCAGTGCTTCATGGGAGTGGGCAGGGCTAAAGATCTTTTTGGCGCAATTTGCTTGCTCCAACTTTCTGACTGTAGGAATTTTCTGTAGATTATCATGGGTAATGTAGTTTTTCGAACATGAATTCTGCTGTTAAACATTATTTAAAAGTAAAAAAAATGTGAAAAGATGGATTTAACAATCTGTCTTTAAAGGTTTACAAGTTATCATGAAAAGTCTGTTTCCCTATGGAGAAAATGATGTTGCACTCTATAGAGTTTGACGTTAGCATGTTGCTAAGCTATCAATAATATGCTAATTAGCATAACAGTAGACCTTAGTCAGGGTAACCCTTACCAAAAAGTAGTATACTTCAAGTTTATTTTATTAAGTATACTTAAGTAAAGTTCACGTATATTTTTAAGTATACTTTATGTAGTAAGTATACAAATATCAGTGTACTTGTAGTATACTTGTAAGTGTACTATTTCTAAATTGGCCCACTTTCTAGTATATAAAAGTATACTTTTAGTATAACAGTAGTAAACTAGTAAACTAATTTACATCTATGTTTTTAGTTTGTACTGTAACTATACTAAACGTGAACTTGTAGGTATACCGATAGTTTACTAATTAAATACTTGTAGTAGCATTTTTAGTACACTTTGAAGTATAGTCTCAGTAAACTACTAGTATACTCGTAAGTTTTCTTTAAGTGAACTTTACATCATACTTTAAGTATACTACTACATCCTTATTTAGGTATTCATTTGTATATATATTTGTTATATGAATATCTGAACATACAAAACATCAAAAGAAAGAACAGGGTGTCTGCTTGTAAACAAATTTTTTTATTCTAGCTTCATGCATTCTTTTTTAAAACACTTGAATGTGGGTAAGTTTTATAAATAAAAAAATAAAGAAATTAACAAGATTTTTAACAAAAAGCTGAAAAATGACTATTAATTGGATTTAGAATTTTTTAATTGGAAGTCGATCAACACTCCAAAGCTTGACAGTCATTATTACCTCTTCATGGGTCGACATTTTATTCCATGACGTTACACAGTTTTGATGCTGTTTTATGTCTGATTTAATTGGAAGTCGATCAACACTCCAAAGCTTGACAGTCATTATTACCTCTTCATGGGTCGACATTTTATTCCATGACGTTACACAGTTTTGATGCTGTTTTATGTCTGATGATCGTGTTAGAATACATGTGGAAGCGTCTGTTGTTTCGGTTTCTCGGAGCACAAGTATAGCATATTTCAACTTTTTCTAAGTATAAGTCAAGTATACTTAAATGTCATTTTCAGTATATTACTGAGAAGTACATAAAGCCCATTTCTGAGAAGTACATAAAATTAGACTGAAAGTATACTTTCCTATTTTTTTGTTTAAAAGAAGTATACTAATAGCACACTTGAATAAACTTCTTTTTCGTAAGGGAACACCATATTAAATTTTTGACAGGAATGAAAATGAGGCTGTGAGGGATAGAAATACATTCAATGGATTTACTGTTGTTTAACAACATACTGGTTGCTCAGCTGACAAAATGTATTTCATAAAAAAAAACAAAAAAAACAACAAAAAAAAACTTTCAGTAGAAAAAAAACTAGTCCTTATATTTTTCAATATACTGCAATATATGCATTGACCATGTATGGCTATATATATTGAAACATATAAAAATATTTAGAAATGAAGACAAAAATAGCATTGCATGTAATATTCATAAAGTGTTATCCTTTTATTTTGCACATACATGTACCCATATAACTGTGAACGTAAGTACACACATTCACAGAATGAGTTACAGCAGATTTCTAGTTCCCAGCATGCTTTGCTTCTGACTGTTAGGGGAGAGTAAATCTTAAAATGAAGTGTTATGCTCAATATTATTGTAGGTGGAGATCTGTTAGTGTCTAATACTCTATTATTTTGGAATTTAAAAGGGTTTCTGGTGTGTCTTAGTTTGTGGGGTAATAATTAAATATGTTGTCACATATTTTTTAATATAGGAAAATGGCAATTCCTTATGTATTATTCAATATATTGTAATATATTAACACAATATATGATTCTGTATATTTTCAATACACCGTTAAATCATTTAATATATTGCTCATTCATTTAGAAGGAAATATCGTTTCTTTGTGTAAGGGTCATTTTCATCCGCATTAAATTCAATATGGCGTCTAACCTGACTAAGGTCTATGCACAGATCACACAAACATAGTCCCTTTTAATTAAGACTTATTTTATTGATGTTCCCTTCTGAATTAAATATCAGTATATTTCTGGTCAGGAGTTCCTGACTTCATCAGCCATCTTGGATACATGCGATTCCGCCTTATATTTAAGGCTTTTCCGTCCTTATTTACAGAGGAAAGCGCGTTAAATGCTGTCTAGACAGGCAGTGCATAGGTTTTAAAACAGAACCAATAACTAAAATGTTCAGAAACGTCACAAAGGACACACACGTCTCTCAGCTGTCAAAACCAGGTTTACAATGAATCGAAAGAGAACAGAGGACCAACCGAAGTGTTGCAGGTAAGCTTAGTGAGGTATGCAAGAATTCAGGTAAACAGAGCACACGCGTCTCTACTGGAGATCTGGAGAACTGCTATTCACAGTGCTCATCTTCTCTTATAGTAAGCTCAACACCAGTCCTGTTGGTGTATTTCAGCGGCGGATCAGGAACACGGGTTTGACAGATACTTGACACTTTATGTAACCATGAGAAACAGCTTGTCATTACCAAGCGGCAACCTCCCGCTCTCTCTGGTGAAGCCAACACGGAAGTGACTTAAACTGTAATTCATCGACAGGCCGCTAAAGGCTGGCTGCAAAAGGGAGTCAAATCCCATAGACCCCCATGTTAAAATGTCCAACTTTACAGCAGAAAAAAACATGTTTACAGTCTGGTTCAAAAAATGATTTTGGTCTATATAGCTAATTTTGCCCTTCATGACAACTGTGAGGGGGGTGAAAATTGTTTTTTATAAGTCATCCGTTTAAATTATATTAAGCCTTAAAGTTCTGCATAATTAAGGGCGTGGCTACTTGAGTGACAGGTGGATTGCCGCTGCTGACACTGCCGTTGAGCTAGGTGGGCGTGGCTTCAGCAACCAGCTCTCACCTTTTTGCCCATTTTTGATTATACGGGAGTGACGCGCTGCCAAGATGGTGACGGCCGGCTCCGCCCACTTTGAGCTTCAAAAACGCTCTTCAGAAAACTACGGGTGACGTCACGGACACTGCGTCCATGTTTTTATACAGTCTATGGTCAGTACTTAATAAAGTGTCTATATTGCTGAAATTTCTCATTGTACCTAGTTGGGACTCGGACTAGTTGTAAACTTTATATCAATGGAAGAGCTCATTCCTTACTGCCAACTATTCTCAACCACCCCACTGGTGACAAAGGCCAAACGGCTGATATCAGAAATGTTCGTAAATGTGCTTAAAATATCAGGGGAGTTAAGCAGCAAATGATACACTGGCTGAGACTTCTCCTCTCCGCACGAAGAACCATGAAGAAAAGCCCCTCTATTCCCAAATACTGAGGATACTACAATTGCTTTATTGTAGAAGGACAGAAAACATGAAGTAAAAAATAAACTCAAGCAATAAGAGAAAGAAACGTACCCTTGATGGATCCTTCAAAGTGCCTGTGTGGAAAGACAAACAAGGGTTAGATGTACTGAAACTCATCAAATTCGCACAGTATTGTTGTTTGTTACATACAGATACATATCCAGCAAACCCCAAAGCGACAGACATCAGACGTAACAAAGTCATACGGACAGCATTTTTCAACAGTAGGAAACTCTATCTGATCCAGTCTAACCCAAGTAAACATGAAAGAAATGTGAAAGAAAACTTAATGCCATTAAAGAGCTGAATGAAAATTGATTTGGCCAGTCAATTCAAAAACCCCATGAACTGGTTTTAGGAACAGAAGTTACACACTCTTGAACAGGAGATGATCCTCAATGATTCTGCCAGATTAAAGCGACTGCATTGGACACCTTGTACTGTATCTCTGCTAAACATTTACTTTGTCAACACTCGCATATATGCTGCAGATAAGAAAAAAGCTTTGTAACAGAGGAATGGACAAAAAGCCACAAATAGAATGAGTTCAGAGTCTCCAAGGAACTGATTACGAAAATATTATAGGCTTTTGAGCTTTTCTCACATATATAAAATGACATTCAGCAATAACCACCCATATTTCGAAAAAAAAAAAAAAGTCCACAAATTTGTACCTTTAGGGGTACAACAGCTTGTCACCGGGGCAGTAGCCTCAAAGGGACACCTTCACATCTTCTTAACACCGAAGCACAAAGTATTCTGCATGTATGCGTACAGTTGAATGCGTAGCCTTTAAATAGTATACTTCATTTGATAGCATGCACTCTAGAAAGCTTAGGAATCTTTGTCCAGCATCTGCTCTATATTTCTCAATAAGTTATGACTAATAAAAATAACTTTGTACGATCTCATAACCCTCTCACACAAATGCTTAATTCGTTTTTTAGGCATACGTGAGGGTCCGCGTACAGTGCGCGTGACGAAAATTTAATCAGCAGAATAGTACACATGTACATGCACCACCCATTTTTTTGTAACCACGCATACTTTGTATGCATAGGTCGCACATGTGCATTGACTTGGTTCTGCTCTTATCAGTTGTTCCACAAAGTGGCAACACTGGTCCGGGCCGCTGTTTCTCAGTAGAAAGCGAAACTAAGAGATGGAACAACAACAACAAAATAGCGGAGACTGCAACAACAACAGACATTTTTATCAGTCATAACTTCTGGAGAAAAATAGAGCAGATGCTGGACAAAGACGAAGCCTTTCGCATACACCTGAAATGGACTATACTTTGAAAGGCTGTGCGTGTACGCTAGTGTACGCGCAAAAAAAGAAAAAGTATACTTGGGCCTAACTTTGCGTCACATACACTGTACGCGGACCCTTGCAGATGCGTAAAAAATAAAGTATGCTTTGGGCTTTAAGGGTGCATATTAGTACCTTACATTAGTAATTGTACCCTTAAGGTAGTAATATGTGCTTTTGAGCTTTTCTCACATATATAAAATGACATTCAGCAATAACCACCCATATTTCGAAAAAAAAAAAAAAGTCCACAAATTTGTACCTTTAGGGGGAAAACAGCTTGTCACCGGGGCAGTAGCCTCAAAGGGACACCTTCACATCTTCTTAACACCGAAGCACAAAGTATTCTGCATGTATGCGTACAGTTGAATGCGTAGCCTTTAAATAGTATACTTCATTTGATAGCATGCGCTCTAGAAAGCTTAGGAATCTTTGTCCAGCATCTGCTCTATATTTCTCAATAAGTTATGACTAATAAAAATAACTTTGTACGATCTCATAACCCTCTCACACAAATGCTTAATTCGTTTTTTAGGCATACGTGAGGGTCCGCGTACAGTGCGCGTGACGAAAATTTAATCAGCAGAATAGTACACATGTACATGCACCACCCATTTTTTTGTAACCACGCATACTTTGTATGCATAGGTCGCACATGTGCATTGACTTGGTTCTGCTCTTATCAGTTGTTCCACAAAGTGGCAACACTGGTCCGGGCCGCTGTTTCTCAGTAGAAAGCGAAACTAAGAGATGGAACAACAACAACAAAATAGCGGAGACTGCAACAACAACAGACATTTTTATCAGTCATAACTTCTGGAGAAAAATAGAGCAGATGCTGGACAAAGACGAAGCCTTTCGCATACACCTGAAATGGACTATACTTTGAAAGGCTGTGCGTGTACGCTAGTGTACGCGCAAAAAAAGAAAAAGTATACTTGGGCCTAACTTTGCGTCACATACACTGTACGCGGACCCTTGCAGATGCGTAAAAAATAAAGTATGCTTTGGGCTTTAAGGGTGCATATTAGTACCTTACATTAGTAATTGTACCCTTAAGGTAGTAATATGTACTCTAATGCAGTGGTTCCCAACCCTGGTCCTGGAGGCACCCCAACACTGCACGTTTTGCATGTCTCCTTAATCAAACACACCTGATTCAGGTCCTCAGCTCATTAGTAGAGACTTCAAGACTTGAAATTGGTGTGTCAGAGAAAGGAGACATGCAAAATATGCAGTGTTGGTGTGCCTCCAGGACGAGTGTTGGGAACCACTGCTCTAATGTACTGAAGAAATTAAGAAGGTATGGTGTCCCTTTTAGGGTACTGCCCCAGTGACAAGCTATACTCCGCCTCATGCTACAAGTTTTGCTCAGTTTTTCTGAGAGTGTACAGATAAATCTTGCACACTTTAAAGGTGACATATCATGAAAATCTCGCATATATGCTGCAGATAAGAAAAAAGCTTTGTAACAGAGGAATGGACAAAAAGCCACAAATAGAATGAGTTCAGAGTCTCCAAGGAACTGATTACGAAAATATTATAGGCTTTTGAGCTTTTCTCACATATATAAAATGACATTCAGCAATAACCACCCATATTTCGAAAAAAAAAAAAAAGTCCACAAATTTGTACCTTTAGGGGTACAACAGCTTGTCACCGGGGCAGTAGCCTCAAAGGGACACCTTCACACCTTCTTAACACCGAAGCACAAAGTATTCTGCATGTATGCGTACAGTTGAATGCGTAGCCTTTAAATAGTATACTTCATTTGATAGCATGCGCTCTAGAAAGCTTAGGAATCTTTGTCCAGCATCTGCTCTATATTTCTCAATAAGTTATGACTAATAAAAATAACTTTGTACGATCTCATAACCCTCTCACACAAATGCTTAATTCGTTTTTTAGGCATACGTGAGGGTCCGCGTACAGTGCGCGTGACGAAAATTTAATCAGCAGAATAGTACACATGTACATGCACCACCCATTTTTTTGTAACCACGCATACTTTGTATGCATAGGTCGCACATGTGCATTGACTTGGTTCTGCTCTTATCAGTTGTTCCACAAAGTGGCAACACTGGTCCGGGCCGCTGTTTCTCAGTAGAAAGCGAAACTAAGAGATGGAACAACAACAACAAAATAGCGGAGACTGCAACAACAACAGACATTTTTATCAGTCATAACTTCTGGAGAAAAATAGAGCAGATGCTGGACAAAGACGAAGCCTTTCGCATACACCTGAAATGGACTATACTTTGAAAGGCTGTGCGTGTACGCTAGTGTACGCGCAAAAAAAGAAAAAGTATACTTGGGCCTAACTTTGCGTCACATACACTGTACGCGGACCCTTGCAGATGCGTAAAAAATAAAGTATGCTTTGGGCTTTAAGGGTGCATATTAGTACCTTACATTAGTAATTGTACCCTTAAGGTAGTAATATGTACTCTAATGCAGTGGTTCCCAACCCTGGTCCTGGAGGCACCCCAACACTGCACGTTTTGCATGTCTCCTTAATCAAACACACCTGATTCAGGTCCTCAGCTCATTAGTAGAGACTTCAAGACTTGAAATTGGTGTGTCAGAGAAAGGAGACATGCAAAATATGCAGTGTTGGTGTGCCTCCAGGACGAGTGTTGGGAACCACTGCTCTAATGTACTGAAGAAATTAAGAAGGTATGGTGTCCCTTTTAGGGTACTGCCCCAGTGACAAGCTATACTCCGCCTCATGCTACAAGTTTTGCTCAGTTTTTCTGAGAGTGTACAGATAAATCTTGCACACTTTAAAGGTGACATATCATGAAAATCTCACTTTTCCAAGTTTTAAGTGCTATAATCAGGTCCCCGGTGCATCTACCAACCAAGCAAACGTGAAAAAGATTAACCCAGTAACTTTGTTTAGGTAAGCCTTTTTCTGCAATTGTCTGAAAAAACGAGCGCGTCTGATTTCGCTTCCTTGGTGATGTGGCAAAGGGATCTCATAATAATATTACTGCACCTTAATCTGTAAGTTTACACACATGGTGTAAACCAAAACAGATTTTTTTAGCAGGTCCTAGCTGTAATGGCGCAGCTCTATTCTGGAAAAGGGGGCGGGGAGCAGCAGCTCATTTGCATTTAAAGAGACAGGCACGAAAAACAGGGTGTTTCTGCTTCCACTCAAAATAGGCATTTTCAAAATGATATAATAAATGATCTGTGGAGTATTTTGAGCGGAAACTTCCCAGACACATTCTGGGGACACCAGAGATTATATATTACATATTGTAAAAAGGGGCATAATATGTCTCCTTTAAATAAACTCTTCATACACTACCGTTCAAAAGTTTAAGGCCAGAAAGATTTTTTTTTTATGTTTTTGAAAGTCTTGTGCTCACCATTGGTTTGTTTTACTATATTAAAAATACAGTAATATTGTAAAATATTATTACATTTTTAAAACAGTTGCTTTCTATTTTTCTGGATTCAAAAGAGCAATATTTATATAAAATATAAGTATTTTATAACAATGTGAAAGTAGTATAAGTATTTATTGTCACTCTTGATCAACTTAATGTGTCCCTGCTAAATAAAAGTATGAATTTCTTTGAAAGAAATCTTACTGGCCTCAAACTTTTGAACGATTGTGTAGTTGCAATGTTTTAAACTCTTTTAGCAATACTGCCCAATCATATACACTGTTTGTTCCAGCACACACACACACACACACACACACACACACACTCACACACT